TGCTAATGCTTTGTCCGTCAGTTCGTAGGTAGGGCGTGGTAATGGCATTCCAACCTCGACGCTTCCATGCGATCGAGGAGCTAATCGTTGAAGGGCGGAAACTCTGCGAGGGTCGCGCGCCCTGGTGTCCTCCTTTCATCGTGCCTTTTCTTCCAGCATGATCCACAAATCGGATGATTTGGGCAACTCCGTCTGTTTGGATGATGTTTGGTGTGAGTGTGAGGGTCGGTAGGTACTCCCTTCTGTGTAAGACCTCAATGATCTCGTTCTCTCAGACCTGAAGTAACGAGTTTTGGAGGTTCCAGACTGAGTATCGCCTGTCCTGAGGCTTCTACTTTCTGCTTGTGACGGCATTGGGTGTCTTCCATGGTCTTCTGAGCGGCGAGGGGGCGTCTTGTTTTTGCGCCCCTCTCCTGTCGCCACTCTTTTTTCCTTCATCTGGCGCTTCAAGGCTTCCATGTCGGCCGCCATCTTCCTTATTAATTCGTCTTGCTTCTTCACGCGGTCCTCCAGAACTTGAGGATCAATCCTCCGCCTTTGTCTGTCAGGACTTTGTGAACGAGAGTGATGGGGGCTGTGAATCCGCCTCCCCCTAGTATCTCTCATACCGTTGTGTCGTTGGGGCTCCAAGTCCGCCATGGGAGAGATAGAAGGTAATCCTTCATGCCTGGCCCCCCCATCTGATGTTTGCCCGTTGATGGTGGACTGTGGTAATTCTTCAATGTGCGCCATTGTTCCTAAAGAGGTAAAGCTTGATCAAGAGGTTTTGTCCTGTCTGATTTTCCCACAGACGGCGCCAATTGTACGAGAAAGAAATAAACCTTCTCGTATAATCCTGTTGATCAAGTCTGCGCTCCTCTGTACGACGTCGCTTTACTCCCTGAAAACACAAACATGAGCTAGCCGACGGGTGTGTGCCGGAAACCTCTCCGATGCCTAAGTCAGCAAAATAGACAAGTAGACAAAAGCTCTGTGTATTCAGAAAACAAAGTTATGTTACCTCTCCAAAGGTGATGTTGTAAGCTTTTATAGGTTTCATGTGACACAATCCTAGTAGGACTTCTACTCCTCCATGCAGAGTCCTCCTAGGATTCATACTCCTGAAAGATAATGTTTATCCTTCAACACCCCCCTCACTGCTTAAACCAAGTGAGATGGTTTTATCATGGCCGAACTCCAATATGACCGAAGTAAATATGTCTACGCATAGCCGAAGAGTAAGCCAAACTAACTCTTCCTTTTAATGCTCTTACGTCGGTTTCTCATGCACAACCCATGGCGTGGTCAGACCGAACTAACATGTCGAGACCGGTGTAACTCCAAGACCGGTCTAACTCCAAAGTACCGTTAGACCGATCTAACTTCGATCTTCTGTCAGACCGGACTAGCTTCACGGCCTTAGGACCGGACTATCTACAAAATAACCACACGACCGGAGTAATTTACATGGCCATTTTACTCGGCCTTTTGTATTGCGGCTCATAACGGCCCATTACCCAGCTCGGCCCAATTTTCACATAAATTACCCTCTCAGTTCAGTTAACAAATTGTAAGTACTTTCTTCGTTTTTTTTTTAAATAAAATAAATTAAATTAGAAAATACAATCAAAACAATAAAAGAATGTAAGAAATGTTTTCACTTAGGGGGAGAGCTACACTTTAAAGAATTGAAAAGCAAAACTTGCCTTAATTGTCTTTGCATGGCGCAATTTTAAAATTTAAATCCAAGAATTAAATTTGGTAAAGGAACACATCATCCACTAAGCTAACCCTTTAGCCTTTACTTCATTGTCCCTATTTGGTAGGGTTTATTTTCAACTTATTTCAGTTTTTAGCTTAATTTAAGCTATTTTGATGTGTTTGGTTCAGCTTAACAATACAGCTTATAGCTATTTGTAAGTCAAAAATTAACTTATTCTTTGAGTGGGGGAGGAGAAGATTAATTTATAAGTCAAAAATCAGCTTATGTTCACAGCTATAAGCTATAAGCTGTTAGGCTGTAAGTTATAATCACTTTCTCACAGCTCTACCAAACGGGGCCATTAGCGTATAGACATTACTACAAAAGATATCCAGGGTAAATTACACTGATGGTCCTGAGTTTTAAATAAAATAGAATAACTCTCATAAAAAAAAAAAAAAAAAAAAAAAAAAAAAAAAAAAACCAATGTGGATGATGTGTAAATACCAGGGGTGAGCGCAGGTCAATTGCGGCCACAGAACTTTCAATCCGTCATCCGTCATCCGTCAACTAGATTGGCAGATTGGAAAAAATCAATCTACATCCATCCGCCAATTCGACGAATGTGGATTGAGCAAATTGGGGAATTGATGGATGGACGCAAATCGGTTTAGCGGTTTAAAATTTTATAAATTTTCAACATAATTCAACGTGTGCACTTCCTCAAAAAAAATATATATTTATATATATATATATATATATATTACAGTCAATGACTTTAAAAAATATTACAATCACTGTATGCTTCACCCACATATTACAATTACAGCATGCTTCATCCACATAAAATATTATAATATGTGATTCTTAAAATATAAAAACAATTCAAACCACCAAAACCATGAACCGAAACAGTAGTAAAGATTGTATGTCTCTGTATTGTTACATCCATATCTGTTTTTGAAAACAAAAACCAACCATCATATATTATCTTTTTTTATTTATTATCTTTGGAGTCAGATTTAAAAACTACAAAATATAGATAAATAATATATTTATTTTTTTCAATTCAAAAAATATATTCAAGTTGAAAACTCTTTTTCAACAAAATATTTAAATTCTTTTTCAATTGAAAACACAAACAAAATATCTAAACAAACTAAAAACACAAAGTCTTACAAATTACTAAGGGTGCTCACGATTTGACGGTTCGGTTATGGCCAAATAAATCTCAAATCTGTCATCCGTCCAAAACTAGGCGGATTGGAAAAAAATCAATCCGCAACTCTCCGCTTGTCATCACGCATCCGTCCAAAATACGGCGAATCGATTTGGTTCAGTCGGTTTGAACAGATCGGTATATCCGCTGCTTACCCCTAATAAATACAAGGATAAACAAGAGAAAATATACATTTTCAATATATAAAAGATACATATTTTTATTAGTATGACTAACGAATTACTTATGAAAATGTGACAAACTATTAAGTAAATTAAAATTTTAAAGGAATTCAATATAATTATGTCAAACTTTTGTAACTTGACGTATTTTCTTTGAACCTCAAGAAGGTTAGTGTAATTTACCCAGATATAACTTCTAATTTTATCAAAGAGAAGTCTTCACGAAGGAGAAGTCTTCGAATCTCATCGATTACAAAAAAAAAATAAATCAAACACAAAATAATAATAACAATAACATATGATATGAAGCTAAGAATAGTCTTCTCTGTTTAATCTCCTAACTGGAAGCTGTGTTTGGAAGGGTTTCAAACTATAATTTTATCCACACATTCTAATACTATGTTTAGATAGGATTTTCAAATTATATTTTCACAAGAAGCAGAAAATCCTGTGTCATGCGAGATTTTCAATTTTTTTTTTTTTGAAATTTGGCTTAACTGGTCGTCCTGCCGATCGTTTGACTATCGTTTGACTGGTCAACCAGAACATGGCAAATTTTTTTATTTTTTATTTTTTTTGCAATTGGCACTTGTGCTTTTTTTTTTTATGTTTAATAAAACAATATTTACGAATTTTTTATGATCTTTTAATAGATTTTTGAATTGTGTGTTTAATTATAAGTTATAAATTTTTGTATCAAATATCATTTGTCACATCAAAAATTCTTCACTCAATTTAAAACTTTTTTCAAAATTCATTCACCAAACAAGTTTTCCACACTCAAATCATAATTCCAAAACTCAAAAACTCAAAATACAACTTTATTCTCAAATACCCTAATTTCTCCAAACTAGTGTGAAGTTATAGTTCAGTAAACTAAAATAAAACAGAACTTCAAGAACACCCATATGCGCTTTCAGACTTTAAGGTCTGTTTGGAAGGGGTTTTCAAAAACTTCCACCAACAACCACAATCAATTATATTTGTTGATAGAAAACCAGACAATTTGTTGGGATGTCACAGGCTAGAAGATACTCCAAAATGCTAGAACCACCTTCTTGAGACACGAATCATAAATGGTAGGTACACCATATTTATTTTATTTTATTTTAAATTTTTGACAAAATTTAAAATTTAACACTATAACAGAGGTGTAATTTTTTAGAAATTATATTTGCAGGCACCATAGACACCTTTGCCACAATCCTGGATTTTTTCTTTTTGAAAATGATCACTGAATACAATACAATTTAAATCACCATTAATCTCCAAAACACACTCCCTCACATGCAACTTCATCTTACACGTGAAGATGTTATCATTCAAACATAGAGAGAAACATAAACAGAGAAAAAATGCAAATTAAGGGCTTGAACTCAAGAAATCTCCCAGCCCGATCTCTGATATCATGTTAGATCACTTTTAGTACAAAAACTTAAGATATTAGAAAAAAAAAGTTCAACAACATATATCAAGCTCTGCAACACTGATCACAAGCAATTCTTTCTTGAAGTCACCTAACATTGACACAAATATGTTCATTGTAATGTTTTCATTTCCTAAAGTTGAGCCCAAAAGTTTTACACCTATTTACAATTCTAGAAGGTGTTGAAGCAAAAGGATATTGATCACCTTCAGCTTCATTTAAGTTTTGGTAATCCGAAAGATATTAATCAACAAATCAGGCAACCACTCAAGACAATTCAATGAAGCTAACATCATAATTATGAAAATTCTATGATGAAAGTCAACATGATATCTGTGAATGGTTGAGAATGTTAATATTTCAAATTACTACGAAATTATCCTAATCTTCACAAGGTGGTGTAATCACTCTACAATCCTATGATAACTCGAGACTTAATGATTTGGAAACCTGAAATTAAAGCCCCTGATTTATCAGCAACTAATAACACAATGAAGAATAGAAGGCTGCAATAAATTTGGAACGAAAAGGGAAACAAATGAAGAATTTCTAAAGAAATGACTGAAAATTCATAAATAAAATCTACCCTAAATCATTTCTCCTATTCTAATTTATTCTTATTAATTGAATCAGGATTGGCCTTGTAAGCAGCAGGAAAATGAATAAATAGAAGCAATCGAATGAGCTCTGCACTGAAGCCTTCAGGGCCATCAAATATGAATCATTGCACTACCTTGGTGACTTTGCCGTAAGACACTTTCCACAGGAGACAAATCTCAACAAAGTTTTTGGTTTCCTTGTCCGAATCTTAAAACGAGAAAGCTGCATGAAAACAACTATTTAGGTTACAACTTTAAATGAATCACAGAAAACAAATTAGAAATTAACACATTAAAAGCAAATAGTCTAAACACTCTATAGCTCCAAGAAAGTCTAAGAAAGTGGACTTTCTAGAGTTTGCCATATATGATCATACTAAGGCCCTGTTTGTTTTCCACACTAATAGTCTACTCCGGACTGCTATTGATGAACAGTAAAATTAGCTTATGATTGTTTTGATTTTTGCACTCCGGTTTCATAGTCCCTTCAGCTTAGGATAGGCCTTGGGCAACGGATTAACAATTTGGGCTGGAAGATAGTAGCAAAGTAGTCCGTTCGGATTGGGTGTTACCAGACGTCCATCCGAAAGTCTGGCCGGTCAACCGATCAATAGCAAATTTTTGTTTCTTTACTTGTTGGCCATTTTTTTAAACATTAATGTTTAATGTTTTTGTATTTTTTGTTAAGTAAAAATCATAATTTTATTTGTTTTATTATTTTATATTTATTTTCTATAAAAATAATTTAACAATCCCCACACTAACAACTATCATCAAAACGAACACAATTTTACTAATCCCCTCACTATTGATTCCCTCCATTCTACCTTTAAAAACAAGCGGGGCCTAAGAAGTATGGACACTACTAAGAAGTTGCATGTCCATGCCGACACCAACACTTATGGAACACTTCCTAACATGTGTCGGACACATACATGTCCAAATGTGTGATATTATTTTTAAATTCTTTTAGACCCAAACATGCTTCAGACACGTAGGGAACACACATATCCATCGCTTAGACACCCAAGAAACACATTTGAATAAAATAACTTTAACAATATAGGGACGAAAAAAAAAAAGATATATACATATTGATTTCTCTCCCTTTAAACTTTAGAAATTAATATTATATTGTATTTTTTATTATCTTTAAATGTAATATTTGTATCTATGACATATACATAAATATATAAAATCATATATTTTGTGTATGTCCCCCACATGTTGTATCCTATATTGACATGTTAGCATATCCGTGTCGTATTGTGTGTCCATGCTTCTTAGTGATTAAAACAAATTTCTCACACATTACCTTCCGGCGAGTTACTCTAGATGCCTTCCAGCAAAGCAAGCTTCTTGATCTAGGTTCCAGCTTCCTGTAGAAACCAAAAAATACCATAGCTGTTTCAAAGTTCATGAACATAATCCACATCAAAGAGAGATTTTGGCTGTCCTACAAATAGAGTACATGAGTACCTTTCATGAAAATATTCCCTCAATCCATTCCGATGTACCCAAAAAAAGAAAAAGAAAATATACCCTCAATAAAACAATATTTATCAAACCATAGACCGTTTATTGTCAACTACAATCAGGACTTCTTAAAAGACGAGCCTTTTTGACAAGATTCTCTCAACTCGGCTGTACACGAGATCAAGTTTGACAAGAAAACCCCAAACACACCATCATTTATTATTTATTTACTTTTTTCGTGCTAGGCAAGATAGCAAGGCTACTTGAGCCCCTGATGTTTTTCATATCAATGGCTCCAAAAGCTTAGCCTCTTCGCAGTTTTTCTATTATTGCAATTAAATACGAGGTTTCGTTCTTGCTTGTCAGCAATCTAGTTCTCTGCATATCCCTTGGAGCCCCTAATGGGTAGGGTTTTTACTAGAAGTATGAAACAAAAATAAGGGGAATCAGAATACGTACAGATTCTCTTGTTCAAGCTTTTCAGCAATAGAAACTGCTCTGCGTTTTGACCATCCATTTTGCTGTGTGCATCCTTCTGCATGTTGAATTACATGTGCAAGGGAAACCTTGCTTCTCACAATGCTCTGGCTCTGATTGTGTTCGCCTAACTTTCTTCGTTCCGCTAAAGAAGCCATAGTGGATTTCTTATGTGGAACTTTTGTGTCTCTTACTCTTCTATCATGTTGTGTGTTGTTATCTTTATTCCCATTACCTTTCGGTTCTCTAGGAGAAGCTATTTCAACAATTTCACTTCTTCCCAGTCCAAGTGACTCAGACTGTAATACATGGGGTTGAGTTAAACCATCTCTTTCTTGTGAAACCCTTTTGCTGCTATCAACCATAGTCATCCTGTTACTGCTCATAGGCCCTGCATTGGTATGAATCTGAGATGAACCATCCTGCAAACTTGGTAAGATGGGTGACATGTTATTTCCGACCCTTGCATCTTTCTTCAATTCATATCTGATTTCAATCGTCACAGGAGAACCAAGCACAGACTCAAATGCTTGTAATATGTGCGCCCTATACTTCTCTGCCTTAGATTTTGTGAGGTGTGAACTGAGCATCAACTGAACAGTCGGGGCTGCAAAAAAGATTAACTAATTAGATGATCCAGGAGAAGTCCTGCAAAATAATGAAAAATAAATAAATAGAAGAAGAAGAAGAAGAAGAAGAAGAGGTCTGTGAATCAAAGATGTATCAATGTGACACATTTGATCAATGATTAATGATAACATAGATGAGGTATATCTTCCAACGTATATATTCATTTATTTATAGTTTTTAAGATAAAAGCACTTGAGAATGCAGAAACATACAGCCCAAGCAACAAGCAGGATGCCATTATAGAAACAATAAAAATACACTCAATTTAGTCCCCCATAATGTGGGTCTGGGAGGGCTGAATTGGATATAGATAGGGGTGAGCATGGTCCGGATTGGACCGGATTGGGGTAAAATCAAGACCAATCCGTTATCTACGGTTCCTGAAAAATTGGAACCAATCCAATCCATTTAAATCATGGAACCAATCCGAACCAATCCATTTAAATACGGATTGGATCGGTTTAGGACCACGGATTCACGTAATTAAATAACAAATATATATATATATATATATAACACTTTAATTTCATAAAAATATAAACATAGCGCTATATCAGTTCCATAATAGCAACATGTTTTTCTATAATAGTGACATACTGTTCTTGAATTTAAACAACCATAAGAAAATACAAACAAAAGTAATAAAATAAGATATTATACGGTTTTAGGTTTGAGTTTAGATTTTATATAGAATAAGAGAAGATACTATGGGGAGGATGTATAATAAAAATATAGACTATTTGTATACGGTCCGGATCGGTTCCAATCCGGAACCGTGGGGTTCAATCCGGAACCAATCCGTGAACTACGGATTTTTAATTCTTCAATCCGGAACCGAACCGCAGATTTAAAAAACCAATCCAAACCTATCGGATTGGACTGGACTGGATCGGATTACGGATTTCACGGATTCCTTGCTCAGCCCTAGATATAGACCTGTGCATCTATTTACACCACAAAAATAACTCATTACACCCTCATGTTTTTTTTTGGGTAAACTTCCAATAGGTCCTAATAGTTAGACTTAATTCTCATCAAGTCCTATTGAAAATAAGTCTCGGTAAAATTGTCGCTAAGAATAATTTTTTTGTGATAATTTTTTACATACGTCGCTAAAAATTAACAATTAGCGACTTTTTTTTGTCATGATTTTTATAAATTGTGGCTAAAACTTACAATTTGTGACGTTTTTTTATGACAAATTTTTTAGACAATAAGTCCACTTATTAGGACCTACACATAAGTACCCTTTCTTTTTTTTGGATTACAATTGTCCCCTCTTCAAAATTACCATTAAGACCCAAACCCTAAAAATTCAAAACACTAATTTCTTGTTCCACTCAACCCTTCCCCACCAGCCCACCACCACTACCACCTCTCCGCCATGCCTCCCCCATACTAAAAGGCACCATAAAAAAATGGAAATTTTCCTGCTAGTAAGACAATAGAGAGCAAGATGCATATTAGGAAATACCTGCACCAAAGCTGACTGAAATCAGCTTTCCTTCTTGATACATAAACTCTTTTATGCTACTTATTTGGATCTTTTCAAGCACCTCCAACCAAATTTCGTCAATCCCCTTATGAACTCTACCTGGTAACGGCCAGCCACTTATTCTATTCACATCAGCAGAGAGTGTGAATGTCTGTTGAGGAACCGTCGCAGATGCAGCATGTCTCCTTCTATCTGTAGTATTACCTTTCATCTTACCATTACGAAAAACATCACTTGAACTTCCAGCTTGAAAGTTTTCTACATGCATTGACAATCCTCCATTGGTATTACCTTTTAGCAACGCAGGATCAACATTACTCTTTGTGGGCACATCTCTTCCGGCAGAATTGTCTTGGACCAATGGACTAGGATTAAAACTAGTGTCTGCAGAGGAACTGGGCAACAGATACTGTTGATCAGGAGCAAGTTGCAGCAATGCCGCTGTTAGCCATGTTAATCTGTCAGTTGACATTCTCAGCTGTTTTTCTGCTTCAGACAATGTTTTCAGAGCTTGACGTAGCTTTTCCATATCTTCTTTTGATACTGAAACCAACAAGTTATTTCTGTCAGTTGCACAATAAAGGAAAACGTAAAGAAATTCATATTGTACAGGAATTCGGTAGCTCAAGGAATTTTGAAAACAAAAGATTCAACTTTGATGTAATATTTAAGATAAAATAATATGACTACTGATCTCTATACCATTTAATATTTTAAGACTTGTAGAATTAACAGGGGCTAATAGCAGCAGCACAATGGCTCTTTATTAGTTCATGGAGTTAATTCTGTTATATCAAAATCAATGTGTGCAATTATTATTGCTGAGCCAAATAATCCTGCACTTACAAGCTTGTCTTCGAAAGAACTTCCTTCTAGGCCTTTCTCTCGCCAAATCATAGCTACCAGCCAAAATATCAGTGATTACTGTAGCAAGTTGTGACATTAAAGCTAATGGCTCAACACCAGATTCCATGATCTCTCTCAAATTCTTAACAGTGTTAACTGTGTCTGCAGATAATGCTAAATCAAGTAGGTCTACCAACTTCTCATCAGATATAAGTCCAACCTGTGAAAACGATACATTAATCTTAGAGCAAATATGAATGTAGAAAAGACATCAATAAATTACGCAGACAAGAAGATTGTGAGATGTGCTATGTAAAAGAAAATTCCATGTCTTCCACTATTCAATATATAAATCGCTGAACACCAAGCATATTATATGTAAGATCCTATTCATTGAATCATGTATCTAGTTTTGACTTCTACGTAGCTATAGTGCATTGTACCCAGCGATGAAGCAAATTATAGGTGGTTCAACTAAAGGTTTTAACTTTTAAATAATAACTAAGAGTACCTTATCATTTTTTTTTTTTTGATTACTACTTATGGGGGGGGGGGGGTGCTTAGCAAATTATATGGGGTAAAAAGACAAAGCTTTATATTTTATTTAAAAGTTCTACCATCACTAAAAAAGTATAACCATCATTCATTGAGGAAATGCAACAGATATGAGTTAATCTAAGATAAACATTTACAATCAATAAAACAGATGCAATTAACTCAACAGGAACCTTCATAATTAAGCAGTATTAACTACTTTTCACAAAAAAAACCAAGCAGCATAGGCAGAATCTCCACAATCTGTAGTTAAAATTGGCATATCTAGGATAAATGTTCAAAAACATTTGTTACGAGATTAAGTTTATTGTTTGACATAGGATGGAAAGGAAACCATGTTGACTGCAATTTAGGCAGTAACAATGAAATAAAACTTGCAGGTGCTATAAATAGAGAATGGTGTCCATTGCTCTAGGAAACTCAAATGGTGAATTGAAATAAATATGTGCTTGTAAATCCAATATAACTAATATTGTCAGTAACTTCTTAAATATTCCCTAATTTAAGACATTTAGGATAATTATGAAAATCTTACTAGGTACCAGTATTACAAAACTTACCAATTCTTGAACCAGAGGAACGGAGATCCTCTGCCCAAGTAAACTCAATTGCTCAAGAGTCATCTCAGCATCCCTCAAAGATCCATCTGATCGGGATGCAATAAGTTTTAGTGCATCCTTATCAATTTCTAGATCTTCTTTAGCTGCAATCCACTGCAAAGCATAGATAATATCTGCATCCTTCAACTTTGGAAAAAAAAATTTCTGGCACCTGGATATGATTATATGAGGCAAAACATCAAGACTCGAACTGACAAGGACAAAAACCACACGCCTAGGTGCTCGATCAACGACCTTTGATATAGCACTCCAGCAATCAGGAGACAGGGTATCACAATCATCAAAAATAAAGACTCTGTACTGTGATGGCAGGTGGGAAATGATCATATTGTCAAGTAGATCCATAATGCTCTCAATGTCAAAATTACTGACAGGACCTACTTCCCTTATATTTCGGCTCTTACCCATGTCATATGCAATGCAAGAATTACAAAACCCACAAGGTTTGGGTCGCTCCACAGACTGGCAATTTAGAGCTCTGGCAAATATGCGTGCACATGAGGTCTTTCCTGTACCATGAGGTCCATGAAACACATATAACAAGCCAACCTTCCTTTTAGCAACAGCATTCGAAATAGCTTGTGCTACCAAATTTTGCCCCACTAGATCTCTGAAGGTTCTTGGCATGTATTTCTGAGTCAAGTTCTGGTGTCTACGATTGCGATGCCGTCTAAACTTGTGTTGATCACCAGATCTAGCTTCTGAAGCAAGATCAGAATCAATTTCATGCTTTAACAGATTATCGGCAAAAATACCCAACTCCCCAGAATAGTCATGCACCCAAGCAGCATTGTCAGTAGTTTCTCGAGATACAGATGCCTCCACCAGTAAAGGCAGTGCTTCTGCATCAAATTTAGTAGAAGAGCTTGAGTGGTCGGACATCACAGGCATAACAGTAGCATCTCCACCTTCAGGAACTGAACCGCCTTTCTTTAATTTCGAGTCAGACAAACCACAAGACAAACTCCTTCCAGCAATGTCAAGAAATGATTTCCCCCTGTGATGAAGTCTCGACCAATTCCAAGGAATGCCACACCCATTTCTTGGAGCCCTTGTGACATTCTTCTCGTCATACTCTTCTTCTCCCTGTTCCATGTTGTGCTTTGGATGAGCCGAACTTTGAGCTAAAGAATTAGAGGCCACAGACATTTCATTTTGAGTCCCAGCATCTCTTGAAGCTTTAAAAGTTCGAGTTTTTCTCATACCTTGAAACTTACGCCTTTTTTCCCTATTCAATCCACTATGGTAGCCACGAATGCTGGCTTCTGCTTCCTCAACCATTTGCTCATTTTGGTTATGCTTACCACGAAGATGGATATGAGATAATGCTACATCATCACTATCTATTCGGACATCATTCAGCTGCTCGGAGAGAGTCTTGAGGTGACCCTCTTCTCTATACCTCCCCTTTTGTTTCATTTTCTTATCCTTTGCTTCAGAGTTCCCTGAAACAATGTCATGAATCAAACCATTATCATCTTCTAGAGGCTCCTCATTGCCACCATTAAGGTCAGTACCCAAATTCCTTTGACTTGATTCATCTCTCTTAATTCTTCTGCATTCCCGAACTCCACTCTTGTTACTGCGCTCGCTCACAGCAGTAGCCACATCATTTTTCCCTCTTCCTAAACTAGCTAAGAGAGGTGAGCTTCCCGACACCCCTCTACCATCCCTCCGATACTCCGTGCCCAGAGACCGTCTTCCATTACCCACCATGGTATCCTTCTCACCTCTTTTAGAAAGCAGATCAGAAGGAGAATTCCATGAAGGCGGACTTGCAGAAGGATCCCTGAGAGATCTTGACCTCTGAAGGACAACAAGGTCCCTCATGAGCGACCTATCAGCCAGTATAGGGCTATGCTTATGCATATGGTTCTTCAAATGAATACAATTTGTCAGATGAATATGGTTACGTAGATGATTGCTAATATCAAAATTGGCATCTTTTAGTATCCGGTCACGAACTGCCCTGTTCATGATCAGAACATAAATGGGTCCAATAGCAGGAATTTTCGCAGACTAAGGCAAAATGTCAGCAAATATTGCATTTTGGGGGGTTTATAACTGTCCCAAATCTTCACACATATGGCATTACAAGGACAACAAAACCCATCAAGACCCACCAGTGATATCCCACTAGTGGTGTCTTATACAGCCACCATTAATGCCCAAATCCAAGCTATCTAGATTACCAACCCATCAACAAATCATAAATTTTAACATGCAATAACAACCTCAAGTCCAATGACAACTCCCCAAAAACCCCCCAAATTGCAAACTCTTTAAGCCAAACCATTTGTCACTAAAAGGAAAAGAGTGTATATAGCAAATTTCCAAAAAAAAAAAAAAAAACTACTACCAAGCCCAAGCTTTGAAAGCTTCAAAATTCAAATGCTACTTCACATATAAGCAAATCATAGAACACAAGAGAGACTGAAAAAGATGAATCTTTTTGGAATCTCTGAACTAATCACAGCTCTGTTTTTGCTTTGTAGCCCTAACCAACCCTCTCTTTTTTTGACAAAACGGGAAAGAACAGTGAAATGGTGAGAGAAGTGAAAAGGGTGAAAAACAAAAAAAAACAAAAAAAAAAAAAGAGTAGAAAGAACACTCAGTTCACCTGAATCAGAGGCAAGCGACCCGTTTCAATCATTAAATCTCAGATCTCTCTCACTCTCTCTCTTTGTCTGTGTGTGAAAACTTTCACATGAACTAGATGGGTTGTTGTTGTCACCGGCAGAGAAAGAAAATAAATTTGTGGTTGTACTAGTATTATAGAAAGCGAATGGACTCTATTGAGTGTGATTTAACGAGAGACAGAGAGCGAGATTCAGAGAGAGGGAGAGTGAGATTTAGAGAGAGAAAGAGGAAAATAGGCCGTTGTATGAGGAGACGTTTTTAAGACAGAATCTGGAGTGCCATTGAAGAGAAAGAATGGTATTTGGGTGAGATTCTGTTGCTGTTGAGAAAATTAATGGGGAAATTAGTTTATAAAAATGTGAAAAAATTTATGATTTTAATGATCACATTTACACTATGTTTGAGAACTTAGAAGAGAAAAGAAAAGAAATGATTATTTAAGTAATAAGAGAAAAGAAAAAAAAAATATTGTAATTTCTCTTATTTTTGTTTGGATAAGGAAGAAATAAAAGAAAAGAAATGATTGTGATTTCTCTCATTCTTGTTTGGTTATGTTTCATTAAGAGAAGAAAAAAAAAAGGAAATTATTTTATGTTATATTACCAAAATAACCTTTTTATATTTTCAATCATTTTATTTCTTTTATTTTTATAGGGACAAAATAGGTATTATGAAAATAGTGGTTTCTTTTCTCTCCCAATCTCTCCACTTTTGGAAAGATTGAAAATGAGGCTCATAACAGAAATGAGTTTCTCTCCATTTCTTTCAATTTCTTCCCATTTCTCTCTACTTAGCTTATCTATACAAATAAGAGAAATACATATAACTCCATTTCTTTTCTTTTCTTTTCTTTTCTTTTCAAATCACTCAATCCAAACATAGTGTTATAGAATTTGTTTAGTTGGAATTCGCCTAAATAAGACTTTTTAATAAGAGTTTCCAGTTTTGAAAATTTACAAGAGACTCTTCTCACAAAGAATCTCATTCAATCGAATTCAGACATAACAAATTTGATAGATAAATTATTAATATGTAATTATTAATATTTATAATATTTATCATTTTTTTTAAAATAAATTTTCTAATCCCATGGTATGTAAATTCTCCAAAATTAATATGGGGATGGGAGTTTCTATCGAGGCCTATAATTTGTCACTATAAAAAGTTAATTTGTATTTTTATTTTTGTACCCATTTTGTTTTTTTTTCATTAAAGTTTTTATTAAATTTGAGTAAAAATTTAATATGATATGATACATAAAAAGTAAGTTTTCATCAATTCGACATGTCGGTCATTTGGTAAATTTGTTATCGAATCTTTTTATAAAATTCCAAATTCATCTCAAAACCCGGTTGTCCGAGAGGTTATTCAGCCAATCATTCACCCGGTTGTCCACCAACGACTACGTGCAAAATTTGATAAAAGGATAAAAACTCCTTTAATTTGATTAAAAGTATAAGGCTCCCTTCATTTGATATCAAATCTGATGAAAGGTTGGAGCACCGTTTTTACTAATTTTTCATCAAATTTAAATTTAATGAAGGATTGGAGATGACTTAAAATATCAAAAAATTATTCAAAATGTCAATCCTATACAACTTTAAATCACAAAATTATGGACCAATTCACCATGTTTAGAGTTTTCAAAATAGTTTTTTGAACTTTCAATTAGTATTTTTTTTGTTTTTAGTAATTTTTTAAATATTTTAATCAATTTTTTTTTTTAATAAATTAGATCTATTTAGTCTAAATACACTTTTGTTTCGTTTGTTTGGGCAAAATTTTTTTATAAAAACTTTTTCTAGAAATGTTTTTCGAAGAAAATATTCTTTTATATTTGGTGAGGGTGCCAGTGGGACAAATGTAGAGGTAGGGGTGGAGGTGGTGGCGGAGGTGGTGATAGTAGCAGTGGCTGGTGTGGAGATGAGAGTGACAGTAATAGTATGGTGACATTGATAAAATTTTAATTTGAAAAATATTTTTCGCTTTTTAAATGTGGAAAATATTTTCTACTCGAGTAGGCTTGTTTTTCGTAAACTATTAAAAATATTTTCTGTTATTTTTTGTTTTCTATTGTATGAAACACTAGAAAAACAAAAAATATTTTCCATCCAAACAAATAAAATGTTAAAAAGTATAAAATTTTAACAAATTTTTAAAAAAAATTAGTGAATAAAACAAAATACGAAATTGTACTTATTTTTATTTTTATTTTTATTTTTTTTAAGAGGGGTGTTTGGGAAGAGAAGATTTTAGTCAAAAGCCAATGCAAAAATTTATACCATTCTCTCTACTTTTTTTTCATGTCCTCTTATAAAAAAAATCACCGCCCAAACAAAGTTAGTAGGAATGAACAAACATTAGGTGGCCTAAGGTTAGGTCAAACTTGCACTTCCAAACATGACGAGGGGAACACTATACCAAAGCAATCTTCAAAAAGAAACCAAAAAAAAAACTGTCCCAGGGTCGGTTCTAAAAGATTTTTCAAATCTTAAATTTTTTCACTTTCCAATAGATATAAATTATTTTGGATAAATTACACCGAGCTCTTTAAGATTTTTGACAAATTTTTTTTTATAGTTTCAATAATTATAATAATTTTTTTTATTTTATCTGGCATTCTCTAGATTTTTCCTTTTGTCAAATTAAAACTAACGGAGTTACTTTTTCTATAATAAGGCCTCGTTTGGCAAGAGGCTATTTTAGTCAATTAGCTAAAAAGTTACTAAATTAGTCAAAAAAACTAACAACCCATATCAAAAAGTCAAAGATTATCTTTTCTCTCTACTTTTTGCACATCTTTTCGTAATTAGCCAAAAAATCATCCCAAACATGCAAGTTTTTTTTACCTACCTTTTTAGCCAAATAACCAAAAAGTTATTAAATTAGCATGTTCCCAAACGAGGCCTAAATGACCTAATTGACCTATCTTTTAAAATATAAAAAAATATTTTTGAATTGGTGGACATAGGGGGTGTTTGTTTCAGCTTTTCAGAGTCAACTTATGGCTTTTAGCTTTGAAAAATTTATTTTGGACTGTTTGGTTAAACTTATTTCAAACAGCTTCTAATTCTAACAGCTTATTTTAACTCAAAAAAGCTGATTCTGAGAAGCTGCTCACCCCTTGCTTCTGATTATCAGCTTCTACTGTGAACATGTTAATTTATGGTTATACTCTTAAAATTTTTTTATTTTTTATTTTTTTAAAAATAGAAAAAGACTCAAATGGACTATAGATTATTATTATTATTTTTTATAAGAAATGCAGACAAATAAAAAATAAAAATTAATTGAAAAAGCTATTTCACAGCTTATTTAACAAGAAAGCTATCCCCGTCCCCGGCCCGAAATTAATCGGGGATGTATTTTTTAATACCATCCCCGGCCCGTGGGGAGTATTTTTCGGGGAAAAACCATTGTAATCGGGGACGGGGGGTCGGGTCCCCATCGGGCCGGGTTTAAATTGCCATCCCTAGTGACAGTAATAGTATGGTGACATTGATAAAATTTTAATTTGAAAAATATTTTTCGCTTTTTAAATGTGGAAAATATTTTCTACTCGAGTAGGCTTGTTTTTCGTAAACTATTAAAAATATTTTCTGTTATTTTTTGTTTTCTATTGTATGAAACACCAGAAAAACAAAAAATATTTTCCATCCAAACAAATAAAATGTTAAAAAGTGTAAAATTTTAACAAATTTTTAAAAAAAATTAGTGAATAAAACAAAATACGAAATTGTACTTATTTTTATTTTTATTTTTTCTAAGAGGGGTGTATGGGAAGAGAAGATTTTAGTCAAAAGCCAATGCAAAAATTTATACCATTCTCTCTACTGTTTTTTTCATGTCCTTTTATAAAAAAAATCACCGCCCCAACAAAGTTAGTAGGAATGAACAAACATTAGGTGGTCTAAGGTTAGGTCAAACTTGCACTTCCAAACATGACGAGGGAAGCACTATACCAAAGCAATCTTCAAAATGAAACAAAAAAAACAAAAAAAAACCTGTCCCAGAGTCGGCCCTAAAAGATTTTTCAAATCTTAAATTTTTTCACTTTCCAATAGATATAAATTATTTTGGATAAATTATACCGATCTCTTCTCTTTAAGATTTTTGACAAAATTTTTTTTATAGTTTCAATAATTATAATAATTTCTCTTATTTTATCTGACATTCCCTAGATTTTTTCTTTTGTCAAATTAAAACTAACGGAGTTACTTTTTCTATAATAAATGACCTAATTGACCTATTTTTTAAAATATAAAAAAATATTTTTGAATTGGTGGACATAGTTGGAAGAAACGAAAAGTGTTTGAAACAGTATTTTTAGATTTATTTTTTAAAAATGTTAAAAAATGTTTAAGAAAACTTTATTTTTTTATTTTAAATATATAATTTTTATTTAAATTTTTTATTTTAAATATTTTATTTTATTTTATTTTGTAAATATTTTAATTTTTTTAATTTTAATATTTTAAACTCAAAACACAACTTCACACTCAAATCGTAATGTCACAACCCAAACCCGCCCCTATGGGTTTAGCACCGTAACCGGCCAGTAATCCATGATTACCGAAGGACTGCTTAACAGTAACGACAGTAATACAGAGTACAGGGGTTAGCGGAAGCCAAAATAATAAATAAAATATGTCCAATGAGCTGTAACAGTCTGAATGCAAAAAGACTTTATGCATAAGTCACGTTGATAAACAAAACATATATACATGCGACATATCCACAAACATCTATGTCAGGGACCAATCCCTAACTATAACTGTACAGTCAAGTCTTAAACATTTATTACAGATTAGAAACAAAAGGGTGAAACTGAGACACCCCAAAATAGCCTTGGCTTGAACAGACTCGGAACCTCGAGGTGAGGCACGGTGGGTGGCTTGACAAAACGGGAGGTTAACTTGACGCTCCTAGCATCGGTCCGGTGCCTAGACACCTACATATAAATATAAACAGTGAGCTAAAGCCTAGTGAATAACATATGCGTAAAGGGGTTAAGAATGAATGTCCTAATAAACATGTAGAGCTTAAGATACAAAATTTGTTCCCAAATTCTTTTAATTTGGAATTTGTTTGGCCGGACCCCCTATATCAAAAACTTTATCACATTATTTATATCGACAAAAACAAAATCACCAATTTTTTTAGTCTTTTTCTATCTATCTTAAGGCTCCATTCCACGTCTAATTTTTTAAAATTTTAAATATTCATTTTTTTTAATTTGTTTTAAAAAAATTTTAAAAAATTGTATCGTCCATATATATCTAAATTATAACAAATTATTCAGCCGATACTAAAATAAATAACAA